CAAGACATCCAACATGGCTTACCAACAGACACAGAAAACTATGCATAATTTCTTCAATTACTCAGGCTACCTACTGCTTGATATTATGTATAACTGACAATAATTCAAGGCCTTGATTTTTTTTCAGGCTGTAATTTTTAAGAGAGGTTTTAAAAGAAAGGCGCATCAACTAATCAGCCATCCATTCATCTTTTAACATGACCGAACTGAGGAAAAATCCGATAGGAGAAAAAGAGTTATAAAATTCCCAGGGACTGTACTTCCAGTTAAAGATCTTTTTCATATCTCTTAAATGTTTGTCCAACTTGAAATTTTTCTTCTAACAGTTTAGATTTTTAGAGCGGAAACTCTGGTATAGATTACAAAAATATATCTGGTTAAAACAATAATTAAACCATAGAGTGGTGGTAACATAAGTTAAAAAAGGAAGAGAGTTAAAATAATAATAGATAATGTTTGGATATTGTTTTTACCTATTATGCTATCATGAAACACCAAAGACTTTAATTTTCACAATCATGAAGCAAAATATATAAGGGAAATGTTAAGACCTTCATTTTAAAAATGAGTAATTAAAGCTCAGCAGAACTAATAAGGCCAAGTCCACATACAATGTTAGGGCCTATTTGTCAGTACGGTGACGGAGTTGAAAGCCCAGGATTTGAGTTCTCTGTAGAGACCCCATTTTGAGTTCTGTCTGCCACTTGCTAATTGTGTGACTTTAGTCAGTTTTCTTTACTTCTCCATATTCAATTACGATACATGTAAAGTGGCAAATATGGAATTTAGTTTTTAGTTTTCTGTCCAGATTCATATGTTCAGTAGTTGTTGTTAAGTACAGTTTTACTAAAAATATAAGTATAGATTCTCTTTATATGTATTTAAAAAGAAGGGATGGATATAGAGAACTGATAATAAGCCCCAAGGAAGTAAAGACTCTAACAAAATCAAAAAGGGCCCATCAGAGTTACTCTTAACAGATAGAAGTCACAAGAGTTGAACTAAGCAGGCATGAGGAAGAGCTGATTTTAAATTAGATGTCCTGTTTCGTCAAAGGTAAATCTTTTGCATGGTGCTTCTAATTACAATAGGGTAGTAATAAAGTATAATGAAGAAAGTAAATCAAGACAAGACAGTCTGTGTCTTCCTCCCAGATTTGAGGAAGAAGGCTAGAGAGGCTCTGGTTCAGGAAGGAGAGATGGAGAGGTGTTGGAGTAAAGGAAGAAAGAGTATTCTCTGTTTATAAGCCAGAATTTTCTCTCAGTCATTGAGCCCTGCCCAGGCCTAAGATAGTTACAGGGTCCCTTGAGAGGAAAGGGATATGTAAGAAGAATGAAGAGAAGAAAGTTTGTTACTAGGGAAGATTTCCCATGACAGGTGAGGTGCCAGAAGAATCTTTCTGAAATGGTTTAACTTGGTGTGAATGGCTTAATCTCACAAATTCGCAAGACTTTTGACTCAAGGTTAGTTGCTAGAGCATGAGGTAGAGATATTCAGCATATTGTAAGAGTAAGATAATGCATTTAAATTACCTGACTCATGGTGAGAACTCCTTAAATAATGTTTCTTTAATTATACTGTTTTTCTAAATCTTTGCTCCTTCTAATACGCAGTGCTTCCTGCTTGCATGAACTCTGTACTTTGTAAGTCAATCTGACAAACCTCTTCGCCACTCTGCTACAAGTCAATAAATAGTTCCACAGATACCCCAAGAGGATTTAGTGTGAGTTATAAGGATGGGGAAAAAAAAGTGAGGTTAGGTCACGAAGAGTTTTCTTAGTCGTTTTCTAAAGTGCAGATTTTACAAAATGAAAGGACAATGAAGAGTCCTGCTGGGTTGTTGCCAGGAGAATCTCATAGGTCCATTCCTGAACCCAAAAGAGGGCTCGTGCCCTTCTGGTACGTTGGGCCAGATTCTCCAGATGTCATCAGCCCAGGCATAACATGTACACCGACTGTAGGAAGTCATGAACATTTCTCTGGGGCTCTGAAAAAAAAAAAAAAAAACTGACATAAAACTAACTGGAACAGATAAACAAGAATCTTCCACTACCCCTCCTATCCCCATTTTTTGAAGTAGAAGTAAGATTATCACTGAAATTGTAGAAACTGAATTTAATAGCAAGTTACTTAAATACCACTAGCCTCCATTTTCTCATTTTGAAAGGGTAAGAAATAACACCTTAAATGTTTGCTATTAGAATTAAACAGAATTGAAGGTTCAAATGGAAAAATCCTTAGCACATTAACTGGTGCTCATAATTTGCTGATTTGAAGATTAAACCCAGGAACTGTATAAAACCAGCCAATGCAGGTGTCAACTTAAAAGAAATAACATTTGAGACAGTGCTTGTAAATTAAGTAGAACCAAACAGAAAGAAACGATCTCTCTCATCTTTGTGTGCTCTTTTCTTGGAAAGAGTGAAACTTGAGTGCAAATCTTGGTAACATAGGTGTGATTTCCATGGGTATATCTTTGGAACTTTGGAGATGATATATTTATTAAGTACTTATTATTAATTAATTATCTGCTTTTTTTGTCCAAAAATAACTTTTCAAACATCTACTATAGGCCAGGAACTCACAAGGCAGTTTTCTCTCTGAAAATATTTTTAATTCACTTTCATTTTATCTAATTCTGTCAACATTAAGCATACAAACCTCAAATGAACTAATTACCTATGAACAGCTCAATGGATTTTCACAGAGGAAAAATACCCGTATAACCAGGATCCAAAGAAAGAAGCAGAAAATCACCAGCATCCCAGAAGTCATACCCTTTTGCAGTCATTTACCTCCGCACCATAAAATATGGGTTGTTTGTCTTTTAGTATTGAGTTGTATAGTTCTTTATATATTATTAAAAAACTCTGCATGGTCAACTATTTGTTTTCAAATATTTTCTCCCTCACTATGACTTGCCCGATGTCCATATCATCTGGTTGTCAGATTACAGAATCAGAGAAAAATGCCTGGAAGCTGCTGAGGCTTTAGTTGATTTCTCAAAACATGAAGACAAAACAGAGAGGGAGAGGCAGGTGGGCTGAGGACAGAAAGGGGCCAGTTGGGGGATCCAAGGTAGTGGTGGTAAGTGGTGAGGGTGTCACAAGTTGCCTGCACAGAGGAATGGACAGGAAATAAAGAAGTTTGAGGCACCAGAGGTGTGAGAGATGCTCTCAGGGAGAGCACATCACTGCTGGGGTTAAATCAGTTAGGGTCTGCCACTTGGTGACGAGTCTCACCGTACTTGGACAGGCTGGCTTCTCACTCTTCCTGCTCTTTAATGATACACTCAGTTGTGACTTTCTGGCTGCTACTCTGAACAATATGCAGCACTTGCCCTCCAGTAGTTTGTGGTGCAGTGGGGGTGGTAGATATTGAAAGAGGTAATGATTTTAATGCAATGTGGAGTGATCTCTAGTAAAGGTCCTAACAGAGGTCCAGCTGAGTATAAAGAGGAATGAGGGTTTAGGCAGCATCGGTTGCTGAAAGTGATAAATCAGGTTAGCTGTCACAAAGGGTAAGACTGTTTAGAGTTAAGGACCATTTGATTTAAGAGTGCAGCTCAAGGACTCATTGGATATAGACAAATAAACCTCACACATCCACTTCAATACAGAAATAACGTACACATGCTGTCAGGAGAATGTGGCTTCAAAATTTTGTTTAGTAGTCTCTCAATGTGTTATAAATATAGACAAGGGTCCTGATTGTGTTATCCAATTTGTAAGCTCAAAGTTAAAAAGTTGGAGTGTGTTGGACTAGAATTCCAAAGGCAGTTGGGTAAAGGTGTTGCCACTGGCTTTACTGAAGTCCTTAGAACACTGACATATGGCTATAATTTTCTTCTGTCGGACTGGTAATAGATCTGCATTTGTATACTCTTAATGTGAGAGCATGTTCTGGAGGCTTCTTGGCGTCATTACAGTGGGCCTCTCCAAATGGTGAATGAGAGTTCACTCTAGCTTTATGCAGGTGCACAGAGGAAAGCCCCAGGGTTAGGGAGAGGGATGGGTTTATTTAGGATTCCCATCCCTCTCATGTCCTGATGATATCTGAGCTGATGGCCTGACTCCGGGACACCACAACGTCCCTCTGGAGTTGAGAGACTTAACTCCTCTAATTAAAATAATTCAATGAGTTTCTCATCGCTCTTGGGGTAAAAACTAAATGCCTTGTCTTCACTTACAAATTTCTTCATGATCTAGTCTCTGCTTATCTCTTCAGCCTCCCCTAAAACGAATTTCTTCCTCCTCTATGTGGTCTAATCACAGTAAACTGTTTAATATCTCACACTGAGCCACGGTCTCTCCTGTCTGTGTCTTTGTATTTGTTGTTCCTTTCTTGCCGTCTCTGCTTCTGCTCTCTTCATTTTGCTCGCTCCTTACCTTTTGTCCAAGCCTCACTTTAGGCATCACTTCTTCTGAAAAACTCATATAAAATCTTGGGAAGGGTTATGTTGTCTCTCCCATGGATCCACAGTACCACCTCATCAATTATTTTATAACACCAGTAATTTGTGTGGAATTGAGATTCCTTATTTATGTGACTTCTCCAGTCTATCAACTACTTGAAACCAGAAACTTTAATCTTCTAACCAACGAGTCTCCAACTCCTAGGATGCTGCCTGGCTCGGAATAGATGCTCAATAAATATTGAAATATTTGAAGAGATAAATGAATGAATTGAGGAATATAACCCCTTACAAATCCTATTTCAAACAATTGGTTTTCCCTAACTTTATCCACTCCCTATCAAGGAACTCACCCTCTTTGTAATGAATAAATGATTCTTAAAGGCAGGCACTGTTCATTTTATAGACTGGATGTGTGCCAGATAAGGTTTATTTTGATAATGTTTTTTGTAATTTGAATTCTAGTTTCCCCTAGTTGTATGTTGTAACTACTTTCATTTCAGATTGTTCAAAACCACCAGTTACTTTTTATACTTGGGCTGAAATGTTGCTACTGCTCTCCCCCACTCCCATTTCTCTAATCTTTATAGTCAGTAAATAAATCCTTGTATGCGTAAGAAAGACATACATTTACAGAAGGTATAGTATGAGCAAGTGAGGAATACTTGCAAATTCCAAATAATTTCTCACTACACTTGGTGGTTTATTAATTTTCTTTTTAACATATTTAGTTTAATTAATGTGAAGCTTAAATAAATGATTTATGAGTGTGTTTACCCCAACGTAAATTTAAGCTGAAACTCATTTCTATTAAAAATTAAAAGGGAAAACTGAAAGAAAAAAAAACCGAAAAACTGTTGGAGTGGTGGAATAAATAACGATCATTTTTTCTTCTTTATTTTCCTTTTGTTTTCGGTCATTTTGTTTAATGGGTAAAGAATTGTTTTTAAAAATAAATTAAAGAAATAAAGTAATTTGGGTTTCATTATAGACCACTCAGACTTCCTTGGGTCTGTGGATTTGTGAGCCTTCTCTTCGCCTGGAGACTGCTCGTCAGCATCAGCAGCTGAGAAATCAATTGAATGGGGACTGTGACATTCACACTGTCTGTCTCCTCCATCCTGCTCTTGGTGCTTAAAAGAAAGTCATTTATTCTCTTGTGACTCTTCTGCCACTACATGATGAAGGCTTTGCAAAGTGTCATTTAAGTGGGACATCCATCACTTATAGCCCGGCTCCTTCACTTGCCAAAGACTCTCACACTCCAGTACCTGGGATGTAAACAAAGATAATGTGTTTGATTTTCATATTGATCTTGTCTGTCTTAGAGCATGACTTACTCTGCGAGTGTTCTTTCCAGACCAAACGGCCTTCCACTGACCTCCCCTGCCACAGCCCATGATCTCTGCGTCCGCAGCCCTTCCCCAAGGCTGCAACGGTACCCACTCACGCTTTCCTCCCTCTGTTCCCTTCTCTTTCTTCTCATCTCAGACAATAAGATGAGTGATGATGAGTCCTTAATTCAGATGACCTCTTACAGTTTATAAGGGCCTTTATGAAAGGATAAATGCACTTAAAGGGTGGAGAAGTGTTACACAAAGAACTCAGACTGTGGAACCAAAAGTCTTAGGGATTTGCAAACTGTTTCTACCATTTACTTGTTTCACATCTAGGGAAGGTTATTTAAATTTTTATTTTCATTTGTAAAATGGGGGAAATTATTTCATCGTCTTGATGTGAACATTTATTTGTCCATTTTTTAATTTATTTATTTAGCAAGTATTTGTTAAGTGCCAGATCCTATTCAGGGCACTGGAAATACAGCTCTAAACAAGACAGTTCACATTCCTCTCTTGTATAGCTTTCATTCAAATTGATGAGTCAAGCAATATAACTATAAATATATTATAATATTAGATAAATGGCATTGTACATGTCTAGTAACGCGTTTAGTAGGTTTCAATAAATAGTATCTTCTTTTTTCTTTCTATCATTATTACAGCTATTAAGATTTCAATCAGTTTATTTTTCTTTTCCTGTTTATAAAAGAAATGTGATAACTTCATGATGTGTCAACTTGGCTGTTCTGAACTACAGTCCCCAGAATTCCTTTCCTAGAATGTTTCCAGTTAGAGCTGGTTACAGGGATAGTCTTTCAAAAGAGTTAGAAGAAGAAAAGGAGACAGCAGCCATCTGCAGCAAGCACACATCCTCTGCAGTTATTTAATCAGACACTAACTTCGATACTGCAGGGAAGGGATCTGCAGGTAGAATTAAAGCCCTTAATCGACACACTTTAAGTTAATCAAAAGGGAGTCTATTTTGGGTGGGCCTGATTTAAGCAGTTGGAAGCCTTTTAAAAGAGTACTCAGGGCTTCTTTGAGCTGTTAGACACCAAACAGCAGCTGGATCTGCATTTTCCCTTCCTTCCTCCAGGATCTTCCTTCCTTACTGCCCGCCTGTGGACAACAAGTGTCAGCTCATGCACGTGGGGTTACAGCCTGCTCATGATCTTCCCTTCCTGCTACCTGTCCTAAGGGCCTCAGACTTTAAATATGTTTAATACTACTGGCTTACACCATATCTATATATGATATGATATGTACATATATATACTATATCAGTTAGAGTTCAACCACACAAGCAGAACCAGTGGTTGAACTGTAACTGATATGGTTATATACACCCATTTTCAAAAATTTGTTAAGATTCTAAATGGTGGATAGAAATTATCATTATAAATATTTAAATTCATCTGTTTTCACCAAAAATATAACATATGCGTTTTTCCATAACATTACAATCTCTCTGGAAACAAAATTTTATTTGCTATATACAGTTATTATGTGAATGCATTTAGAATAACTATTGTATTTCATCGCTGTAAATAACATTGTAATAAACATCTTTGTGCATAAAGCTTATTTTGTATTATTATTTAGGGACAGAGTCCCAGAGGTGGAATTGTTAGTTTAAATGGCATATGCATTTTGTGGCTATCAATAAATAACAGGTTTTGAAAAGACTGTAACCTTTGTATTCCAACCAATAATGCACAAGAGGCAACTGAAATCTTGTCTAAAACAATTACACACCCATACAACTTAGCTCACCCATACAACTTAGCTCATTCTCCTTAAACTACCATAACCTGCAAATAGCACAGTGTGGAGTTTTCCTACAAATTTCCTTCCTGTCTTTACTATAAAATTTGTGAAAGTCTTATCAGAGTTTATGTAAGAATATTTTCCTTGCCTGAGTGCCATTTGGTATCTGTTATTTGTCATTATCTTATCTTTTGACATGTGCCACAGAGTTCTTTATCTAACTTTTACTTCTCTGTAGTAAAAGACAACTATTCTAAGTGTTTTTGCTATAATTGCTCAAATTTCATACTGCAAGAATAGGGTCTTTCTCAGTTAGTTAGATACACTCCTATGACTAGTTTGCTAACTAAAAATGTTCTATTTCTCCGTTGAGCACTTAGAAAAATATTACTACACGTTTCCTTCATGTCCTTTCCTCTCCTCTATGTCATTGAACAAACAGTTCTTGGGCACCTAAGGAAGCAGGCTGGTCTCTATTATCAAGGTGATTAAAATGTCCCTGGGGAGGCAGATAATACACAAGTAAATGTACTTAGCGTTTTGAAAGTACAATGATGGAAAGAATCACAATGCAATTATAGAGAATCATGAGTGCGTATGTATTTAAGAAGAAAGATCTCACTTAAATAGAGTGACCAGTGAAAGCTCTCTGGGGAGGTCACATTTAGTAAAGGACCTGAGGACTAAGAGAGATTAGTTACGCGTGGAATTTACTGGAAGAAGAATGTCCCTGACGGAAAAAAATTCAATGTTCTGAAATTACCTGTTCAAGGACTGAAAGTGGATCAGTGTGAACCACGGTGGGTTATGAGCAAAGAGGCATAGAGTGAGCTGGAGAGAGCACAGGGGAGGTGGAGCTCAAGGAAACCTCAGGCCAAGTTTGTCTGGTTTTGTTTTTGAGTACAACAGGAAACCAGAGAAAGCTTTTTATTAAGGGAATAGTGGGAACACATTTTCATTGAAATAGTAATTTAAAAAAGTCGGATATTTATTGAAGTGTCTATTTGCTAAGGACTTTACATGTATTATCTCATTTAATCCTCAAAATCATCCAAAAAGTGATATAATCAATCTAATTTTATGTCTGAGTAATTGGAGGTTAGGATAACTAAGCAATTCACTTAAGGTCACAGATCTACTAAGGCTCAGTCACTATTTAAGCTGCTGCTCTTCCCACTACCCAAAACTGTCCAGTTTTCTGAAACCAATCACAGTGTTAGGCAGTAAATAGCTGTTGAATGAATTATATTAATTTTATCTGTTTTTCTCTCTTGCTCTCTTAGTAAGATTGTTCTATCTCTTTCTTCATTTTCTCTTTCCTCAAACTCACCCAGGTTTTTCATCCCTTGTAATTGGGTCTTGGTTATAATGTCTAGCTTTTAAGTGATTAACGTGGCAATTCTACACAAGGAAACATGAATCTTCATTTACAGCTATTGTTTGGGCTTTTTGTTCTGGTTTAGAAAACTCTAAGTTTAGATATTTATCTAAAACTACTTTGCATCTTGAATCCTTTCTTAAGGCTCAGATATGTGAAAAGAGCAGAGCTTATTTATTACGTCTCGGGAGCCATTCCTCTAGACTGAAGCTAGCTGCTCTTAGCGCAGTGGATAGCACTGAAGATACAAATCTATTTCCCTAAGATTGAATCTCATCCTAATCTGTCTTGACTTCCCATAACAGTTGCTTCTATCTCTATGATTGGGCACATGTAAGCATTTCTAGCTAATTATCACTGGGTTGTAATACATATGACTGAGAAAATGCACCCTAGAATGTGCATTAAGTTTTTGAAGTAAGCCTTTTATGAGATTTATGCCAAGATATACTGAGTTGGACATTCTTTGCTTAATATCCAGAATACACCTTTAATAAAACTGCTTGGTATGAATTTATTACATTTTATAATGTAAAGTCTACACTATAACATATTTCAATATCTGAAGATATTTTTAAAAATCAAAATTACTTGCTTTATACCTGGCCATAATGAAGCAATACTATTCCTGCTTTTACATTCAGTTATATTTTTTTCTGTTAACAATCACTCAACAAAAATTCCTGAAGTATGAACACTGTGGTGGGAGCTGGAGATACCTTGAAATCTAAGAGAAGTGTCTCGTCATTTAGAGTTAACATTTAGGAAAGGAAACAAAAGTACAATCACTACAGTGACACTGTAGCAGAAGTTTCTAGTACCAAGTAGTGTGGGGCTCAGGGAGTGAGCAAAGACTTCATCAAGATGTTGAACTTTGAGCTGAGTCTTGAAGATGAAGTCTTTGAGCTGAAGAAGAAAGGATAAGGAAGGTCAGAGAGAGAACAGCATGAGCCAGGAAGAACTATGACTTATTCATGGAATTGGTAGCATTTCCTTTGGAATATGAATTGGAGCCCAGAAAACACAAAGGAAACAATAAGAGTTGAACTTGAAATTAAGGCAGGACTGCTAAGGAGTTTGACATTGAACATCCAGGAAAAAGGGAACAATTAAAGTTAAGAAGGGAATAAAATGCAATTTGTGACTTAAGAAGATTCTTGAGTTGCGGGTGTATAATGCATTTTATTGACAATATCTTACCAATGTGTATTATTTCCTGGGAAGAATGCAGTCAATACTCGCCCCTTCAGAATCTAATATATCATTGATTTGTATATTCCAAAACCACTTAGATACTGTGGTGGAACAGTAAGATTGTTAAAAATTGGCCCCACGTACCTCAAACTCTGGGTGTCTTGGACAAGCAGTCGCTAGAACCTGGGACTCTCTCACTTCTCCCAGGAGGAGGAGCTCCACTGAACTCAGCTTCCAACAGCTATCAGATCTCCAGATGACTGGCAGCTGTCATTCTCAGAATACTCCTATAAACTGATGCCTAAATTCAGAGAGGCAAAAAAGAGGACTGAGGGAGTGTTGAGAAAGGTTTCTTGGAGAAGGAAAAATCTGAACTGGGTCTTGTACGCATGAGTAGAAAAAAAGATGGGGTGGCTCATTTGAGGTAGAGATGGCATTTTCATCAGTCATGGAGGAAATAAGAATTGTGACAAGTTGATGTGATTTGAAAGTAGGTTATAGATATGAGATTTCATTGAGGCATTGAAAAAGAATTTAAATTTACACACATTAATATTAATATTTATAGAACATTAATCTTTAAAATCTGCTTCTCTGGAGATCCTTCCTCCTCCTAGCTTTAGACACATTGGCTATGCAAGCTACATAGGTAAATTTTGCACATTCATGTAAATTGATCACTTTATTTCTTTATTTATGTGTTTTTATATTTTCATTCAACTAGTTGTTGAATGTCTATTATGTTTTATAATCTGGAAATTAAAAGATAAATCAGACTTGATACTTTTCTTCAAGGGGTTCTAGGTTTGTTAGAATAAAACAAAAAGTTTACAAATAAATATTTGAAAGTTATTATAATAATTAAACAGAGAAAGGAAGGAAAAAGTGTTATGAATGCCCAAGTCATGGAAAACAAGAGAGAAAAAAAAGTGATCGTCTCTGACATCCACAGAAGAAATGGCTTTCAAGCTGGATCTAGGAAGATGAGTAGGAATTTCAGAGATAGGTCATAGAAAGGAAAGTCATTCTAGTGGAGAGAATAATTTTAGATATGTCTGGAACATGTATTTTTTGATAATTGAAATTTGCTCACTTTGACCTATAGTCTCATTTATTTTTGTACTGTACCCTGATGTTAAAAGTACGGGGAACACTGAGATGAGGCATACTATGAAATAAGCTGTGAGGAAAGGAGGCCCACGACTTGGACCCTAGAGCCCTTTTTGGATTAGACGTTAATTAGAAAAGTGTGTCGTTATCTCGATTCAGTGACCTTAGCTCTAAAATAAAATTAGTAATGTTACCTCTTTTCTAGGGTCATTGTGAAGGTTGGGAGAGATGATATAAAGCTCAAAGCACAGTGCTCAATATGGGTTAGCTCTTTCTACTATACCTATCCTATACATTCTTGCTTTGTCCCAGCTTCATAACAACTAATCAATTTGGTATGTCTTTCTTTGGTATCATTACTAAGCCACAGATATAACTTTTAAATGGGGGAAAAGCTGCCCATGGACAAAGTCCTGGGCTAAATCACTAGAAAGCTCATTCTAGAGCACATAGATTAGCTAATCAAACTTGTTTTAATTATCCAATCAGTTTCTAATCAGACAACATTCTAGATGCTGCTCATATATTTCTTTATCTTGTCTATAAGATTATCAAAAGAGGCTCTTTCAATGATCTTGCTGATGTCCAGTTATTCTATGGCCCCCCTAAATGCCTCTACTTTACCAGTTGTAAAGAAAGAATATATTAGGCCTTGGGGAGAGGATCCAGCCATCTTTGTAAATCATGGCACGCAGCCATTTAGAAATACATCATTTTCCTTAACATCTTGTCTTCTAACTCTGGTATTCTTTCCTGCTGACAGTCCCAAAATGTTGGTGCCTACAAATTAGATTCCTTTCAAAATATTCAGAAACACTAGAATTTTGGGACCTATTTGAAGAGAAAAACTAATAACATATCCATGGTCTGTCAATTTTTATTAAGCCATGCCACCTTTCATTATTATCCTTATGTCTTCACATGTCTTCTAACTCAAACTATTTTATTTCATAATATAATCATTAGAAGTGTACTATTTTTGTCTGTAATGTAAAAGCAGTTTTTGTTTAGATTTATGGCCCATAAAACAATGTAAATACTAAACATTGCACCACAAAAGTTTAATAGGTAGTATTAATAAACAAAAATCTATTGTCTTTTTCAACTAATTTCTTTTTCTCTTTTCCATTTAAATTCAATGAAGACCATATATTTTTGAAAAGATGAATTGACTTTACTCTCTCTTCTTTTCCTCACAAAAATCATCAAGATTACATTAACATTTCATAGAATAGGATTTGGCACTAGAGACTAACAGAAAGAAGTGTAGATGAATTATTCACATCTGAGAGGAAAGTCAATTGGAGAAATAAACATTAAAATGATTTGCAATCTGCAGTTATTCAAGAGAGGCAGAATCATCAAGTGTAAGAGAAAGATGAGAACACCAGGAAATAAATGGCTCAATTGATTTAGGGGATGTTTTCACAGCACCCAAATTTTGAGAAAAGGCCTGGATCGATCCAAAAGTCCCATTAATGTCTTTCATATCTAAGATAGTGAAATTACATATTTTATTGCCATTTTGACTTTTATTATTGAATTGGATTTTCTCAGGGGCTAAAATCATTCTCCAAATAAAACTTAGAAAAATGTTTAAAGTTATATTAACTTTGGGACAGCTAAGATATTATTTAGTAAGTTATCTTTTTGATATCCTAAATGGCCGGGAAATAATGTCCCAAGAGTCAGAACTGAGTCCAAAATTGCCCAAGAAAAGCAAGGAATAGCTTGCGAATGATAAGAACATGACTTTAAATGCACACAATGTAAATTGCCTTCCTGGAAGGAGATGAAGCAGCTAAGTATAACAGAAAGGGTGCTGGCCTTGGAAGTCAACAGACCTATACTCTAATTCTGGTGATGCCCTTGACCCATGGGCAAGTTACTAAGCCTCTCTAACCTGAAAAACAGGCTTTCTGATATTTAGCTGTCTGTAGGTAGGAAGGACTTTGCCTGGAGCAAAGCAGACAAATAGCCAATGTTAGTTTCCTCTTTTTTTTTTTACCTCTCACTAAATACTGTGATAGCTCCACATCACAAGTAGGATCACTTTTCCCCTTGGCACTCCCATTCCACACAGAATAAAAACATGTAAGTGCATCATGATGTGGATAAAAAGCTGTTTATCTGGATATCCAAATTGGCTAAGTCAGAACAAAATGAGCTTACATGAGGAAACACTATTTTAACTATGGAATGGTTGTATGTGATGGTTCTGCTTTCATGATGGTGGTAGTAAGGACAAAGTGATGATTGTATAGATAGAGTAATTGCTAAACTTTTTGTAGTTCTTTTACATTGAGATCATTAATAACATACACACACACACACACACACGAGTTTCTTATATTCCAGATTTTGCTATTTTGTATGCATTATCTCACTTAAGCTGAAAAGATAGATCCTATTGTTTCCCTTTTCTTAGAAATGGGGAAATAGAGATTTAACAGTGATAAAACTAATATCAGATATTTAGCAGGGTGCACAACATGTTCTGGAATTCCAGCCTCTCTGATTTAGATCTCATGTTCTTACTATTAGAACAAACATTAAAATGACACAAGGAATTTACATCAAGCAAGCTTGGCAGTGTCATAACTGGGACTTTTTCCTGGTAGAGCAGATCTTCTAGAAGAATCTTGCAGAAAGTGACTCCATTCCTGCCTTAATGATGATCTTGCTAAAGAAAAATAGTTGTTTCTAGCTTAGAATCAACAGGAATCAGGAATGAAGTGATTTGTGGAACAACAGCTCTACTGCGATCTGTGGAACTTTTACAGTAACGTGAGAAGTAATGCTTCTCAGGAGCAGACTTGATGGAGCAGCGGGAGATGGGCTGGAGGAAAGGATAGAAAGGGTGAGGGAGAGAGAAAGGAGAGAGAGCAAGAGAGAGAGTTATTCTAAGAAAAATATACATGCAGTGGATGAGATGAATGGAGTGGAAAGTCTCCATGATGAGTATGTAGCAGTATTTTTTTTATGAGGATATTGTGAATACTGATCGAGATAAAGCATGTGAAGTGCTATGAACAATGCCTGACACAATAATTTTTCAGTAAACACTAGGTTTTTCCTTTATCATTAGTGTTGCTGTTGTTATTACAATTATGATTAGAAAAGACAAACTTATGTGGAAGGTTGTGTAGGTAGAAAGCAAAACACAAGAGGAAGGAAGGGTGGGGAGAGAATGAGGCTGGGAGGGAGGCAGGGGCTCCAGAGAGGAGAACACTCACCACTGGAAGAAAAGCAAATCAAAGCCTTTCCAGAAAGGAAGACATGAAGGGAAAGAGCTCATCATAAGGACTTGCAGCAAAGACAGTTTGGTACATACACTCTCACACACACATGCACACGCTTGCATACCTAGAATATCAAAGTCTCTTCATTTGCCTTTTACAATTTAAAAACAAATATTCTCAAATACGTTTTCTCATTTGGATCTTCCAAGAAATCTGAACGTGGAGTTGAAAGACTATCCTCATTTTACAGATGAGAAAAAATCTGAGAATCAAGATGGTGAGTGTTTTTCTGAAGTTTGCACAGTTAGTGAGTAGTGGATCCTAGACCCAAACTGAGCCTTGAGGATCAATGTTCACATTGCTGTCCAAGGCTCCACGCTTCCAAGATGTATAGAAGAAAGTGCATAGAAGCTGGGAGAAAACAGTTTCCCAGACATAGAGGACATAAAAGTAGGCTTGATTTTGTCATAGACTGTGAAGGGAAATTGATATTCTATGCAAAACTTCCATCCACAATTTTTAGTTTATGCAGAATGCAGGCATTAATCCGATGTTTATAAATTCTACCATAGTATAAGCATGTTATTCTCAAGCTAACACTTTTGGTTTCAATTTCTAATTAATGAAATTTAATTAGTTCTGGTAGAAAAAGTGGGGTCATTAATTATGAGACTAGTGTCCAGAAAAGAGGAGGTTGCACATGGTCTATTTTAATTTCTACTGAAATCGATCAAAATCATGACTATAGATATGTATGTATTTATACATGTTGTCTATTGAACAGCAAATCAGGAACTGAGGAAAGAATAGCTGGGTGCACTATCACTCTTTTTGCCTTCTCGTTTAATTTCCCTAGACTTCTCTTTTTAATTTTTAAAATTAATATCATCTTCGTCACAGGAAAATGGAGTGTTTCAGATATTAGAAGTAAAGAGTAGCATGATTTCTGGAAAGAGAAAGGTCTTTGATGGCAATCATATCTGGATTCAAATCCAGAGCTAATAATTTACTAAATGTGTCAACCTCGGCGTATTATGATTTAACTTCCTGGAAATCTTGTTTCCTCATCTGAAGTGAGGATAATAATACAGAGTGTTATTCTGAGAATTTAAGACAATATATAATGCCCCTAGTACAGTATTAGCTATTATCCTCCTCCTCCTTATTATTGTTATTATTACTATTTTTTAGGAATATTAGCCCTGAGCTAACATCTGCCACCAATCCTCCTCTTTTTGCTGAGTAAGACTAGCCCTGAGCTAACATCCGTGCTCACCTTCCTCTATTTTATATGTGGGACGCCTGCCACAGCATGGCTTGATAAGCGGTGTGTAGGTCTGACCCGGATCCGAACTGTCGAAGCCTGGGCCACCGAAGCGGAATGTGCAAACAACTGTGATGCCACCGGGCTTGCCCCATCCTCCCCATTATTATTACCTGTACAAATGGGAATAGTCATTGCTGTCACATTCTGAAAGATATTTCCTAGATTGTTCATAAAGTCTTTTTTTCTGGCAAGTGTTCTTATTAGGACTTTTTAATGGTAGCTTTTCTTTGAAACAGGTATATAAAGAAAGCTATAAACAGACATTTTTCCATTCCATTGTCTTTAGTCTCTTGAAATCAACAAGGTTGATAATTTAAAAAATAACTTTTATAAAAAATTTTAACATCTTAAAAATTGCAAAAAATCAGTAAAAACTCATTTTGATTCAAATGGTAGCTGATACAAGGAATGGAAGAAATTATCGAGCAATTGTTGAGTGCTTACTGTATGCCAGGCATTTAGTCTTCATAACATCACGTGAAACAGATGTTGTCCCTGCTTAACAGATGAGGTCCCTGAAAGTCAGAGATGTTAGTTACACATACAGCAAATGGCAGAGCTGAGATTAGTACCCAGTTGTACTCCAACATCCAGGCCTTTTTCTAAACCATCTGGACTCCTAGAAGAAGTGTCCCTCTCCTCAGGAGTGGTGGAGAGAGGAAGCAATACTTATCGATCACCTATTATACGCCAGTCTCTAAAGAAGCTGCTTTAAACCAAGACTCGGCTTGGTCCTCAGAGTATCCTTAAGTTGTTATTAGACATACCCTGGAAAACTAAGACTGTCAGAATAATTTGCTTACCACAGCACTAAAAAAAGAGTGACTGAGGTAGAATTCAAAACTAGGAAGGTCAACATTAAAACCTGGACGCATTCCAGGGCATGATGTAGCCACTTTCTATGGTAAATTCTCACAACATTCAGTTGTGCATATAAAGAGATGAAACCCATATTCTCATCAAAAGAATAATCAGGGTAGGAGACCTGCCGAAGTGGTTAGCCATACACTGTTCATTTTGGTATAGGCAAAAACGTTCTGGACTTAGCATTGGAGGTCATGGTTTATTCCCAACACCACTACTTATTCACTGCATTGCCCTTTTTATAAGTTACTGAACACGACTGAACTGTTTCTTCATACGTAAAATATGGGATGTGGACTGAATGATATCTAGGGTCCATTCCAAATTCATCATTGTTTCATTCTAAATTCCCAGATGGTCTTTTTGTTTGTGATAAACATCTTTCCTTTAGCTAAAGCTAATAATATTCTCTCTCCTACTGTCAGTTTCTTATGCAGAAATCCATAACAGACCAAAGCCAATAATATCGTGATGAATCTGTTTATTTCTTATTTTTCTCTATCCTTCACCTAAAGGCAGAATGGATAAGAAAATTTCCTAGTATTACAGTTAATAATAATAAGCACAATAATAATTAAAAGGATATAATTAAACAAGGCAGCTGTCCAAACACAGTTCTAAATTCTTTACTTCATGAAACCCACTAACAGAATCAATAGGTCTTGATATAAAATTGATGTTTGTATATAAAATATTTATTAAGCACCTAAGGTATTATGTTAGGTAACATGGTCGATATAAAGATGAAGAAAACAATATGAGCATCTTTGCAACTTTGCAGTAAATTTAAAATTATTTAAAAATAAAATTTTACCTAAAGAAGACAGCATACCAATTCTTGAGAAATATATTTCCTCATAAGTACATAAAATATATAAAGTAATTGCTACAAGATGAGGTGATTATAATTAATTCTATGCTAAAGCATAATAAAGATTTTTAACCTTGGGTATTTGAGATTTCAGTGTCTGAAAGAGGAATGTGAGGCAGAAAAAGGAGAATGACAGGAGGGGGAAGTTAGAAAACCATGATTAAGCTTCATTCCTCGGCCAAGCTTTGTTCCTCTTAATTCTTTTTCTAATCCTTTGTTTCATTTAATAGTGCCACGTTTTGGCACTCAGAGCTCTATCAGACAGAGTATCCTTCTCACAGGTACACATAGTATTGTAGGGGAAGACATTCAAGTAAATAGATAATTCAAAACCTGGGTAAGAAATATCATGATAGAAATTAGCAGAGGGTATTAACATGGAATAATATGAAATCATGACTTTTTTTGTGAAGGTAGGCAAATGTGAAAGCCTTTTATGTTTGTAGAACAGTAGAAAGTTTATAAAGCATATAATGCAGACGGGGTTGTAGTATTGAAGTTAAGTGTGTCGGCAGAAATCAGATAATGACGGGACTTACATTCCCTCCAAAGAGTTTAAACTTTGAACTTTTAATTAAACTTCACGTAGAAAATCTTACAAGTAGATTTTGATCATCTTTCACTCTATTTTGACTCTCATTCTTTAAAATAAATAATAATTACAATAATATTCAACTTTTTGGTTGTTTTGATAACAGTAATCTATTAAAAAAAAACTAAACAAATTTATCAAAATAGTTCTGATATTGGCCTTTTATAGATATCTGGATGTTAAGTTAAATGCAGTGGTAAAAATGTCCTAGTAAGTAAAAATACGTATTTTAGAAAAACCACAGTAACTCTTGACATTCTGGCAATGTCAAGAAAATCTATGATAACCAATGAAAAAATGTGAATAATGATAGCAATGATGGCATATCCTATAAAATTCTATAATTCTATAAGATGTTTTATTCAGTATTACCATAGTACATATTTTTCAGAATTGAAGTCAGGCACATTTATGCCATTGCCAACAGTTCCATTAGGTCAGAAGCCTCCTGAGGACAGGCATTGTACTTGGTCCATGTTTGTATGTTCATTGCTCAGCATAGAGATTGACGCTGGGTGAAGATTCATGACATCTGGTATTGAAAGGTGGAAATAATAAAGCTTTTATTGCAAGAAAATATTTTTAACATAAGTAAGGGTGCTTTTGTTTCAGAAAACAGGTTTGACGCCCATCTCTGCCATTATGGCTATGTCACTTATTTTCCCCGAATTTTTCTCCAATCCTTTTCCAAAACAGTCTCACAGTCTCCTTAGCTGTAAATTTGTAAAAATGTTGCTCCTTGTTCTTCTTGTTAGATTATTGTGAAGACTAAGGAATACATGTAGATATATAGATATATATTTTATACATACGTAAAGGAGCCACTATGATCACAGTGCATCGAGTAAATGTTCAACAAATATTTATCAAATAAATGAATAAACAATTAATAATGAGCCAATAAAATCATTTAAAGACAGGAAACTTAAGAAATTTGAAAATAAGTACAAAATAATTATAATACTTAAAGAAGAAGAATAAAAACAGGATACTATAACTACTAGGAAACATTGTCTTAAACCTTTTATGGAAAGTTAAGACTAATGAATTCAGAAGTTTGACCGTCTACTTAACAATATTATCTGTTCAACTTTGCTCAATGCAGACAAAAATTGCTTATAAAAAATAAGTTAAAAAATTATGTCATACCAAACTTTGGAGAAGCCATATTTGATGGGCCAGTACAATTGAAGGAAGTTAGGAAGAGAAAGGTGGAAGGTGACAGATGTGCTACTTCTCCCTGTTCAATATCTTTTTCCATTACTGCTGCAACACAGCCTCTGTTTCCATATGGTTGGGTAGAGATGAGCCACCCCATCATTTTCCAGAGGGGTGGCACTGTGACATTTGTTTAGCAAATCCGAGACCCCATTTCCCCAAACACTTCCTTTAGATGGTTCCTGGGATAGTACGTATCCCATGCAGAATTGCTCGGGTCTCAGGCTCTCCTGGAGAGCAGGAGAAAAAGGGCCTCTTTGATGTTGCTATGAAGATGTCAGCCTGGGGTTGTGCATTGCTACCTTTGCCTGAACCTACTTGAGAGTGAAGCCAACACAGAGCAAAGCAGAGACGAGAGAGAAAGTTCAAGAGTACAGGTGACGTCATTTGAACTCTGACCAAGCTATGTTTTTTACAAGAGTCAATGAGATTACATTTGTTTTTAGTTTGAGTTGGGTTTTTGCTTAACTGAAAGAAATAAGTATAAGTAATGTGTGTTGTTAATTGTGTTGAATACTTAAATAAATGAGGTTACATAAATTCATGACACATTCAAGGATCTAAAAAATAGCATTATGGATACAGATAAGAGGCAGAGGCACATAATAAAGCAGGAGTTAGGCGGATGCAAATGTTAAAAATGTTGGTCTTTATCCTAAGGGCAATGAAGGGTCACAGATGGGTTTTATGAAGACGTGTAACATGATCAAATTAACTGTTTTTATTAACAAAATAAAGGATCAGAATAGACATTTCTGCCACAGAAAGCCTTAGGAACTCAGGAATACTTTGGATATTTTTACATCTCTAATCCTGTATCCATGTTCTAATGCATCCATTCCCCAACAGAGGGCTTATATTCCCCATGTGGTAGTCACCATATTGACTATGACTAATGAAAGATAGGACTGACTTAAAAAGATACAAATGATACAGGTCCCTTTCATCTGTAAAGGTTAGAACAACTTAATTATGTGAAGAGAGGAACATAAATGGCAACCAGCTGTTGAGCGGAGTTCCTACTCAAGGGCCCAGAAGATTAGACTGGGTCCTTTTTAGGGGTTAGGGTGGGTGATCTTATGCCCCCATGGCCACTGTCAACTGTTCTGGGACACATATAGCCAGTATTTCTATGAGATAACCTGCTGGTCTGGCATAGCCAGGTGAGAACTATAAACTGGAGATCTTAATGTACAAATGCATCATGGCCTAGGAATAACCATTGCTAATGTTTTTAAGCGTTTATTTATGCCAGACATTGTTCCAAGTTGTTTATGTGTATAATTCATTTAATTCTTACAAAACCCCGTGAGATAAGGGCCATTGTTATTCCCCATTATATAGATGAGGAAACTGAGACACAGAAATGTAAATGGCTTGCCCAGGGTCATGTAGATTGAGCATAGACAATTTGGCTCTAGAGTCTGAGCTCCTAATCACCAGGTATTACTATCTCTGTCACTCTCACCAACTTGGGAGATAATGTGAGCCATTCCCCAAACATGTCTGAGGAACTAATCTAGGGGGCCAGTACCTGATTATCTGAGGAAGAACTAAGCTTCATGCCTGCCTGGAGTCGTCTAAACACAGACTACAAAGTTACGTAACTTAAAATGAGAAGCACTAGATACCGAATAACTTGATTTAGTTTCTTATGATATTTGTGTGTATTTAATTTCAGTTATTCTCGCCAGAGGATAAAGCAGTTATTGTTACAGTTAACCCACTTTAGAGATGAGGTCTTTTAAATCTTCTGAAAATCCTTTGTTTTGAGTCATATTTTATCTCCAGCCCGTTCTTGGCCTGAATAAGTTTATTATTTTGTATAACAAGAATTTGCCTGCATGCCTTTCCCCTCATTAATGGAATTAAAAGCAGTGGAAAATGCATAATGTTTGGGCAAGAAGACAAAGAATGAGAGTGATTGGGTCATTTGAACTATATAGGGCATGACAGCTCTCTTTACAGTAATTTCATTTCCAATATTGAAAGAGCAGGAAAAATGCCTTGGTAAATAAGACTTCTTGCATTTCCATCTGTAGTTATGCAATTGCTTCTCTCAAAAGAATAAAGATTGTTCCTGTGTGCTTGATTCCTTTCACTCTCTGGTAATTTCCACATCACATTGCTTTACATCATTTGAAAGGTTCAGTTTAGAGCCAAAAAAGGTTGTATGAAAACAGTAAAAATTTTAGGGAAGAAAAACCAAAACAAAACAAAGACTTAGGGGAAAATAAATCCTGATTGTTGTAATTATTTTCTTTCAATACGCAATTTCTAGTTTTGTTTGAACTTTTTGTTTTCATATTTGTAAGTTATATTTTATAAGCTACTCTTTTCAAAAACAGGATAGAATTTAAGGACTAGAATTGATTAAATACTTTTTCTATATTTGTAGAAACATACTCACAAATACCATTTTCCTGCATTTCCCTATTAGCCTTAGAAATTAGATATTAGTCTTCTCATCTTAAAAAAGAATATGAGATTTAGAAGACGTTTGATCATTTATAAAGTTACAATCATTAAGTAATAGAATCCGAATGTCTTCGTTCCTTACAAGTGGCCCAAAGCAAACTTGTAAGACAATTGGTATCTCTATGTCCTCATTACAGATGAATCAAGACGTTAAATTTCTCTAAGGTCAGTGGTGTAAGGTAGAGTGCATTTTTATTCTATGTAATTATTTTATGCTAATGAATATGATATAGGTGGGTCTCATTGTTATCTCTCCATGAATTCATTATAATTCAATATTTGTGCAAATGGATTCTATAGTATAAGGTGTGTTCCAGATATGATTCTATTTCTCATACATCTTTATCAATCAGTACTTTGACTGTAGAATATATTGATTCCATGGCACTTTAGTTTCCCTGACTAGTGTTTGTTTTTTTTAAATCTATAAACAGATATAAAGAGACTCAATTACATTGTTATTAATCACGTTATAAAGGAAAATATAATTCTGGTAGACAAATTCATAACTCCTTGAGTGCAACTAGAAATATTGCTCTCTGCTCTAGCAAGTAAAGAGAAGCTGGAGGAGGAGCCTCAGTTGGAGACTATATGGTGGTACCTCATGATCTGTAACTGCAAAGCTTTGGCCACATCCTTGGTTAACCACAGGAAGGTCTTTAATTATTTGGTGGTAGTGTCTGGAGATAACTTAATTCCATTGCAAAAGAATGTGTGAAAATTGTCTCTTTTTTCTTATGGCACAGGGATCAGAGAATAGGGAAAGAATAAAGAGGAGAGAAAGAAGTAAGAGAGTGATAGAGAGAACCAGGGAGACAGAGAGAGAGAAAGACTGAATAAATCCCAGGACTTCAGATACTGGATATGTTGGAGCCAGAGCTGAAGAAATGGTTAAAGAATTTCTTCTCTTTTTTTTTTTTTTATTATTATTAAGGTTATAAAAGTTATCCTTGTGAAATTACAGTTGTACATTATTATTAGTCATGTTGTAGTTACACCACTTCACCCCTAGTGCCCTCCCCCCACCCCCTTTCCCCTGGCAACCACCGATCAGTTCTCTTTGTCCATACGTTAACTACCACCTATAAGTGGAGTCATACCGAGTTCCTCTTTCTCTGTCTGGCTTATTTCACTGAACATAATACTCTCAAGGTCTATCCATGTTGTTGTGAATGGGACAACTTTGTCCTTTTTTATGGCTGAGTAGTATTCCATTGTATATATATACCACAACTTCTTTATCCAATCATCAGTTGCTGGGCACTTAGGTTCGTTCCATGACTTGGCTATTGTGAATAATGCTGCAATGAAGATAGGGGTGCATAGAGCTTCTGAAATTGCTGATTTCAGGTTCTTAGGATATATACCCAGTAGTGGGATGGCTGGGTCATAAGGTATTTCTATTCTTAACTTTTTGAGGAATCTCCATACTGTTTTCCATAGTGGCTGCATCAGTTTGCATTCCCACCAACAGTGTGTGAGGGTTCCCTTTTCTCCACAGCCTCTCCAACATTTGTCACTCTTGGTTTTGGATATTTTTGCCATTCTAACAGGTGTAAGGTGATATCTTAGTGTAGTTTTGATTTGCATTTCCCTGATGATTAGTGATGATGTGCACCTTTTCATGTGTCTATTGGCCATCCGTATATCCTCTTTGGAGAAATGTCTGTTCATGTCCCCTGCCCATTTTGTAATTGGGTTATTTGATTTTTTATTGTTGATTTGTGTGAGTTCTTTGTATATTATGGAGATTAACCCTTTGTCAGATAAATAACTTGTGAATATTTTTTCCCAATTAGTGGGCTGTTTTTTTGGTTCAATCCTGTTTTCCCTTGC